TCGTCAGTGGTTGCGTGGCTCGGCCGGGAAGCAGATGCACTTTGCAGTCTTACGAATCGCGTTGTTTCGAAAGTAATTTGTGTGTGTAAATAGTTTTGTGCAGGTATTAATTAAAATCCAGTATATTAGTGCTGTTACATGGCATCCTTGGCGTTATTGAAACTATTGTGTTCAATTAATATTTTGCGCTTTCGTAAAGGAAATGGGGTGCTTGTACGTATTTGCGTTATTTGGTAATCCTATTTATGGCATTTTTCAATCATTGTGCTGGTTTTTGTGAGTATATTGAAAAGGATAATGTTGACATTCTTGGGATAAACTATTAAGGCATTCTTATTTAATGATATTAAGGTATTAGGATCGTTAACAAGAATTTTGTCTTACGCCCTTTATCCAGGTGCTTTCTAGGAACTCGCTGTTATATTCATCCTTGTTCTGATTGAAAATGAGCTTGACTGTACCTGCAGTTTGTTGCAAGAAGGAAGGTAGTAACATTTCTTGCACAAATATTGATGACAAAAGGCGGGCGATATAATTTGCTTCTTGTAAGTCGTCTGTTGCTTCAATGCCAGCGTCTTCCATTGCGTATGGGTTCGCCCCAACTTAATTTAGGCCTGGCACCATAACGAAAAAGCCATTTGCTTCTTAGAGAATTGACACTTTGTTCCTGAAACCATTTTCCCGTCACACAGTTGCGTGTTTCGAGAATTAGTTTACCTGAATGACGCTGTTTGGAAGGGAAAAAGGCGTCTACGAATGAGCCAGCACAAGGAATAGTCTTATACCAGGACCGTGTTAAATATATATGCATTTGGTTTCAGGAATTCTGGGTAGATATTTTTTTTTAATAGGGGGAAAAAAAGGCAAAACATCTTTTCTTCGGATCGAATTCTTTTTCGTTTGTTACATATCTCGAAATTACGAGATTCATCAGCATGAGCAATGAATGTACTGGTGTTAGTTTTTAACATCAGCTTCTTTTCGGATGAGTATTTGTTTTCTGCAGTCATTTATATGTTTCTGTTGCATATTTTGGTGTAAATCGAATTATATTTTATCTGAATTGTCGTTAATTATCGATACCATTAACTGTGCAGCTAAAGAACGTGCTGTTTGTCGCCTCAAAAAACTGTCCAGTTTCAACTACAGAAATTGTTTAGTGTCGGATGAGATGGTCATGGGTGGTTGAATATTTCTAAGGAAGCGGCTGTGGCCTGTTTCAATTTAATATCCCTGTGTTCACTAGGAGAGTGGGAGGAAAACCTGTAGAGTCAAACCGGCGTGTCCTGAATCATAAATCTGGAGCGTTACCAGTATACAAACAAGTTCGGTTACAAAATCATACCATCGGGAAAAACGGCGGAAAACGTCTGGGAAGTGCAACTAGAATGTTGCAGCGCCAGAACATCCGATGAAAGAGCTCCAGAAAATTTGTACGTGGATTCACCCAAAATTGCAAGTCAGACGTAGAAAGGAACTTTTTGTAGTCCCACTTACGAAAATTGAATTTAGCTCTTTCCAGGCCCTCGCTGTGGATAAGAATGGATTACTTTCTGAATTTAAGGGACAGATTGATGATCGCTGCATTTCCTGGGCGAGTCTCAACTGCTTTTTCGCCTGCTGATACTGCTGCGCAGACAACCCGCACAACACGTTTGCCATGTACTTCCTACGAAACATCGTTCTTCGATTTTACCACTTCACCGCGATAAAGGGCGAAATAAAATCGAGCTTCCGTATCACAAACTGGAGCCGTCTCTTCTTTATTATATGACAGAAATAAATATGTCACGAGTTAAGGATTCCTGGGAATTATGTTACCAGAATTTAGTTTTTGCGGGTGCTAATCGTTTCGAATATTTATAGACCAGTGTATGTTGAGTCGAATACTTAAGCAAGGTTCATAAGTCTATAAGTTTAAGATTTATGCGTTGTTAACATGGATCTCATAAAATGAGTACTTAACAGATTAGAATGGCATTCGGCATTGGGATTTCTTATGAAAGCTGTTTAGCGAACATAGATTTTGTCCGTATGGTGTAACTCTTCTACATGAAGATAAAATCTAACATAATTTTGAAGTGGCACATCATACAGAAAATTGGCACGGAACATGAAATATACAGGAAGTATCAGAAAATATGAATACTTATACACACTGCGGTGGTCGCTTGTCAGTCATTTTGTTCGCCTGCAATTGGAGACGCGATGTTCTGAATTTGATAGAGACCAGGTCATCTCAGAAGACCCTGCCCCAATCTAAAAAAAAGTCGTTCGCTGACTGCAGCCATTTCTGCCGTTATGTAACAGTGTTTTCACGAATTTTGAGCATTGATTCGGGTTGTGTATTGACGTCAGATGCGAACAATTTCAGCACCTTCCGTGACGAGGGTATTTGACAACGCCTGAGAATGAAAGTGGCAGTTGAGTGGTTAACATTCCTGTTTCGTGTTCGGGAGATCCTGGGTTCAAATTTCAACCCGGAGAATGATTGTCCTCTCTGTTGTTTTTTGGTCCTTCCACGTGAATACCGGAATAGCACCTGAGGCCACGACCACTTCCTTCCATGTCCTTTCAGATTCATTAATCCTACAGTTCTGCGCTATGTAGTCTGTATGACAAATTTCGTATTAAGTATTGCTTATATTTCAGAAATATTAAACATACAGAATTGTACTTGCTACATATCGTAGTGAAACACACACTAATGAACATACGGCCATGACACCTTAATGCAGTCTTCCTGTATTAAATAAGGAGTAGTAACTGAAAAGTCGACCTTGACAGTGTTCGTCATGCATGTATTAGACTTCACGCATTGCACATGTGTCAGAGAAGTTGTCGATCCCGCAAGGCTTTAGAGAAATGGATTGTTCTCTACAAAGCAAGTATCCATCCATACGCTGAGTTATCGACTCAGTAAGACTATTTTCGAGTTTTTTTTTCTTATTAAGTTGCTCGTTGATTTGAGTTTTATTTCTCTAGGATATTAATCACCGATAGTAATAATTTTAAAATTCTGTGTGGAACTCAAGAGTCCCCTCTCGTTGGTAAAGCTAAAAAGTATCATATTTTCTTTCTTAATTACCACAATGTGTAGAGGGAAGTGTAGGTAAAACTTGGCAACAGCACAATATAAGTGAAGTGTATTATTCACCGGACGCTTCGCCTATGGAGGAAATCCCCGCCCTACAATTTTACCTTTCACCCTCGCCCAGCTGCCGTTATGACACTGCCAACCCATACCATCCCTAGTCTTACGTTTTAGTGATGTTTAGATAGACAAAAGTTTTCATGAATTAGCCTATATTCCGCATAGCCTTGGTCTGATATTGACGTGACCTTGGCATGACCTCGATATAATTATGACCTAACCTTAACATGACCTTGGCCATTCGCAGACCTACCGCTTAGCGAACGTTAGCATGACAAGTGACTTAAAATGACCTTAAAAATTTAAAGGACTCTATTCGCCATAACCTTGGGCTGATAATTTCACCCTGACTTGAACTTGACCTAAATGGGACCTCGAATTGACATGAGTATAGCGATTCAGAGACTTACAGTTCGGCAAAAATAAGCATGATGAATAATCTTAAAATGACCTTGAAACAGTTAAACGCCTCTGCTCGGCAAACCCTTGGGCTAATAATGTCGTGACTTTGACCTGAACATGACCTATCTTTGACCTCAGAATAACATGAGTATGGCCATTGAGAGAGATACAGTTAGGCAGAAATAAGCATAAGAAGAAATTGCCATGAAAACGTCAAGGCCTCTATTCGGCAAACCATGGGGCTGATAATGTGACCTTGATCTAACCATTAACTCCAATTTACAGTATGATCATTGACAGACCAACGGTTCGGCACAAATAAGAATGACATACATGACCTTGAAAACTTTTAAGCTTCTGTTCGGCAAACCCGTCGGCTAATATTGCCGTGAACTTGAAGTAACCTTGAACTCAAACTGAACTGAACTTCACATTATTATGACAATTCAGAAACCTGTAGTTGGGCAGAAATAATCATGAAAATAAATTAACTTCAAATTTCAATGGCCTATATTTGCCATACCCTTGGGCTGAAATATGCGTCTACTTGTGAATTTGATCCCTCACCAAACTACCTACACAAAATTAACACAACCCTAACTAAGTCCTTTATACTTTGCGTGACAATTTTCACAACGTAACATACATTGTTTTGACTGTAATACCGTGTGATCTCAGTTAATTAATGAATTACTTGAACTGGTATTGTGATTGAAAGTTAGAATTTTTTCGGAACGTATGTTCGTACGTACATGTGTCGATCGGACGGGAAAGTTTGCGCATTAGTTCATTCGGAAGATGTTGCGCATTAGTTCCGCTTTCATTCGGAAGATGTCGCATCGCTACGTTTCCGTCTGTCAGCCGCATTATTTAGTACGAGTCTTAGAAAAATGTTAATAGTTTCTAGCCTAATTGCAGTACCTTGGTATTGGAAGCAGATTTTTTTAATATATTACCGCCTGAAGATTTAAAAGCTAAACATTAGTATGACATCTTTTTTCACCGTTGATCTTTCCTTGTCCTGTGGTATCGCTTTTGTTGCTAACCGGAGTATCTTCTAATAATGTCCTTTTGCATACATGAGTGGGGGAGGACGGGGAATGATGGTCAGGTACACTGTAAGATAACTGCTTATAGTTGATGCCGCCATCTAGTGCTTGATTCAAATATCTGAGATAAATGAACTTTAACTCAGAATTTGTACGTTAAGACGTTGTAGATGTGTTTTTATTTTGTAAGCTGTGTGCGTATTAGCGGTAAGACATTTTATTGTGAACGTCAGTGACATCCTGCAGCACAGTGACCGTCATTACCCCTGTGAGTGGGAAATACCCGTCAGACCTACTACTTCAGTTGTTACTTTCTTGTATGGTTGTATGGAAAATGCATTTTTGGTGTTTGTTTTCGGGCATCAATTTGGACTATGTTCCTAAGGTATTTGATTTGAATCTCAGCTGGGTTACGGACTAATCTGATTGACGTTTTCGTGGTGAATTTATAAACTGTCAGGAACTTATAAAAATTGTGTTGTTTTTTGCTCTGATAATGACATTATCTTTCAGTAGCGTGTATTAACAATAAATTCAGTATATAATATTTAATGACTTATAAATGGCGACAACGTGTACATGTAATAGGACGGCAGACTAGCCAGTGTGTAGCCCATAATTCTGTTACTGTCGCCCCCATTCACACGTCAGATTTGCTTTTACCTTCAAATGGTGTAAAACGGACAGTTCCAGCACTATCAAGATTACGCACTTAGTCCCAAAACTTAATCGCCAAGAATGAACGTCCGTGATTGTGAGGCTTTTGGTTGTCAGTTCGTGGCGATCGTAATGTCTGTGTATATTTGTCGTCGTTGGTACTAAAAGCGAAATATTTCTGTATAGACTTAAGTCATCAATTGAGGTATTCATCAGTTGAATTTGGCGTGTTAGTGTGCTGTAATTACAGATATTTTTAACAAAGGGAAATATCTGAATAACTGGTGACACTGAAAATGCACATTGCCAGTGAAAAGTTGCGCTGATCTGAAATTCTTTTCTCACAATTTTTTTAACATGCGTGAAGAGAGAAAAATTTGTCTTTACAATGGATTCAATCATGACTCCCTGTGTTGTGTTAATGTGCTGTCTCGTGGTGACGAACGATAGACTAACATCGCAATGTAGGGGCTACGGGTCATGTCTGGAGCCGAGCTGAGAGCCGATCAGCTGCAGCAACTCTATCTGTGCAGTCTCCTCTTGGGCCGAAAGCGGTAAGTTATGACTGTAGGGGAATTCAGGGGAATATGAGTACTTTCAGTTCTTTTCTTAAATCTGTGACCTGATCGTATATACCTTTAGTCACAAATGCATGTTTGATTGAATTTCAGTCTATCTAGCATTGTTGGCAGATTTCGGAAATTAATATCAGCGTCTCGGGTAATGTGATTACTGCTTGTGAAGGTAATCTGAGCTCGGGTCAGCAAAAGGGTATTTATCTTCGATGATTGTAATAAGAATTGTAATTGACCCACTGTTACCGTAATCAATGATTTTTAGTCGAGTGATTTAAGAGGGAGTAATATTATTTGGAGTGCAGAAATACTGCGAAACAGCAAAAAAGTGTAATAACATTGTAAAATATGCCTGTTTACTTTCTTTGTCGGGGATGTAGCTTAGCCGTCCTTTGTAATTGCTTCAATGAAAATGGTTGCAAGCAATGCTCATATTCCTCACAACCAGGGATGAGATTTTGGTACTGTAAGTACCTAAAGGACTTAGGCAAGTGGCCGTCTCATCTGCATTCTTTTATTTAAATTAAATATCTATCTTGTAAAACGTATCTTTAACTGTTTACATATTTCCCCAATTCCCCTATCTAAAGTTGGTCCATGCAGGAGAATAGACGTGGAAGACTTGAAAGCTAGTGCGCTATTATTTGCCCCTTTATCGTATTAGGAAACATGATCTCTGGTCTTTGTACGTTTTCCTTGTGGCTGATAAATATTCTCATAAAGGAAGAGAAGTCCCTCACATTCGCCTCGCCATGACAACGCGTCAGAACGCCAGACCGCTCCACTTCTGTTCTCCTGAGTCTCCTACTTTAGACAGAATTAGTCATTACAGATGAGTAGTGTTCATATTCCTGGAATTCACCGCACGTCTTTATAATTGCTTTCAAGAGTAATATTTTTTTTTCTTCTACTAAAGGTCGTTTCAGCAAGTGAAGTTGTTGACACAGATATAAGAAGTCTAACACTATGCTTGTTCGTTGCATTTGTGTGCTATAAACGGTATGTGATGGCGCAGGAAGGTAATTGTCGAAAATGATGCTTTCCGTGTTCCCAAACGGGACGAATTTCATACTATTGCTCGTAGCGAAATATTCCTTAATTCCGTCCTCTTCGTCAGCAAAAATTCTGTTAAATAACTTCGTGTCAAACATGAGTGTGTGTAATAGAATTTATAGTCTAGATAGTGTTATTTGAAAATAAAAGAGCCCCTGAGGGAGTACTTTGTAGGATTTGGGGTATTCTGGTAGTGGAAGCGCAGTGTAGTATGGTAGACATTTACCAACGTTTCAGAAGAATTTTCTGCATCCATCATCAGGGTCAGCTTTAGGGTGGGACAGGGCACGCGACTGAAGGCCGAGGTAAAACGAGACGTCCAGTGGCAACAGTGAGAACAGAGAAAGTGTGTGATCGAGAGTGGAACGGAATAACTTCGTGGACCAGAATCCTTGAGAGGCGAATAGTTCGCTCAGTTGGTCAAGAAACTTCCCTCCTCCTGTGTAACTCGAAGGTTCACAAGAACCCGCTACCAGCCTCAGCCTTGAGCCAAATGAATCCAATCCACACTCTTTAAACCTATTTCCCAAACATCGATTGTAATATTATACTCCCATCCCTACCTAGGGCCCCTATGTTTCGTATTCGGGAGGTCTCGGGTTCAAAGCTCCGCCCGGGGACCCGCTTTTTAGCGGGTTTCGTCAATCCCTACAGGGGTTATATTAAAGCACTCATAAGTCTGTACAAAGGCCACAGACAACCTTTGTATCTATTTTATGCCTTCCTTGATATGTGTACCAAGTACAAAATTTCTTGAAGCGAAAATCCTGCAGCGAAGATGAATTCGGTAATGGCAGGTACTTGAGCGGGCTCAGGCGGAATTTAATTACAGCCTTAATAGAGGTAACAAGCTGGACGGGAAAGCACAAGATGGAATGCTGCCAGCTGTAGCTCGCTAGAACTTTACACACATTTTCTTCGTTTTCTGTTTCTTTGCCTCCTCGTTTACCGTCGAATGCGTTTTGTCCTAACTATCATGGCATCTAACAGCTTCAAGACATACAAACAGACGAGTGGAAAATACAATATACATTTTAGGAGATACTTCGTTCAGAAATGTTTGTCTTTTATTTATAAGATTGCGTGCACCTTCCATATCTGCTCCGAAATTATTTCGACCCTCGAAAATACCGGAATAATTTGCTGTGGACCCACGACCAGGTTCTTTCTTGGCAGCTCCAGACATACATCCACTATTTTTCGAGTCTCAAAACATATGATAAGGGGGCGCAAGTAATCATTAAATATTTTGTGAAACTTTAGGTTCTCACGGATGTGAGGGCGTTGATATTGGACCTTTGGGTTCGTAACGCCGTGTGGATCTGTAGGTAGATACCAATATCGACATCGAATACTTTATATGTAATTAATAGCATCGAACTAGCCAGTTGATTTATCGTTCACTTTTGGATGGAAACAAGTATGAGTTGACTTTATGTGATAAGGCAGCATCTCCAAACGAAGCCCTAACAAGTTGCGTGGTTTGCGTGTTGTGTTTGCAGTGAACAGCCAATCTTCTCCTGCAAGGCGCACGTGTTCCATATTGATCCTAAGACAAAGCGCTCCTGGATCTCGGCATCCTCCACTGCGGTCAGCGTCTCATTCTTCTATGACTCAACCCGCAGTTTGTACCGTATCATTAGCGTCGAAGGCACAAAGGTAAGAGCCCCTCAACAAGACTCGCAAAACAACAAAGTTCTGTAACAGCAACTAAACCAAATGTCTTGTCCTTATTACCAGTCTGGGTCTCGTATTTGACACCTGTTCACTTTCTAAACTGTTTTGATTTATTACGTCTTTCTGTCCGTACTCAGTATTGACGAGAGCCCATCTGACGGGTTCTGGTGGAATTTGATAGAGGTCCTTTCATAAAGTAATATTATCACTTTGATTTTCGTAAATATTTGCAGTATACAAGTAGAATGGGTTGATAGTTCATTGCGTCTCTTGGAGAAAGTTTTTCAGTGCAAAGTCAAAGGGGGACAGCGTTTTCTTTCTTTCTCTCTCTCTCTTTTTTTTTTTTTTTTTTTTTTTAATGAACAGTAGAGCAGAGACATGATGATTTTCGTGATAGTTGTAACAAATCTTCCAAAAATATGCGATTTCTCTTCGAGTATTTTTCTTTCTTTTGCGGGGAGGGGGGGGGTGCTTGGTTGAACTGACATTCGCCTTCGTAGACTATTGCTAGTGTTTCTGCTTTCGCTGTACACAATTAATCAAGGTTGGCCTAATTATTGATGAACATCGCTGTAATTACAACTAGGAACACGTCTTAATGAGATAGACAGACCATCCTCTACTACCGATTGTTAGCCTGTAGTGTCTGGTAGAGGAGTACGTCAAGATGCACTATAGAATGGCGTTAATGTAATAACAGATTGCGAACGAAATGATTGTGTGACGTGAATGATGTTGTTCAACATTTAGCCTCGACAGGTTACGAATAATATACCCCTGTGTAGTAAGTTTGTCATCTGCAGATGACGTACATGAGGAGGATTTTATGGGATTGAGGTCTGCCTCCGTGAAATCCGTAGGTTGTAAGAACATCAGCTTCATTGTTCAGAGCAGCTCGTGTCAGCCACCGCTGTTATGGAAGATAAATGGATGTCATGCAAGGCAGTTCTGTTTTCAATAACTGGCTCTGTATGGATTTTCTTTCTGTCGCACATTGGTTAACCTAACGGCAATATTTAATGATCAATTAACCACATTTATTTGTAATTCTTTGGTCTTACTCTGTACCCATAAGTCAGGTTTCATAGCAATATGAGAAATGTTGATATCATTGTCAGTTTTATTAGTCCAGAACTTTTTAAATTGCTGAGGTTATGTAATTAAATTGTTTAGGCATTGTATGTTTCCTATTATTATTAATATTAATTGGCTTACTTAGAGAAATTACAGTGGAAGGTTGTTCTTGAAATTAAAACCTTTTAAATTTGAACTAATAGAATTCAGTCTTACTACATAATGAATTCTTCTCTGGTTACCAGCCATGTCAGGTGGTTTGAAGTTGAAAACACCAACATTCGGAGAACCGTCCTCGTCCTCAGGATACTGAAGATGTATTATGCAATATTGTTTTCATGTGTATTGCACAATTTTTATTGTTACTCATGCTTTTTTCCTTCTTAATAACAAACTGAAATGTTTCCCCAAATGTACAACAATGAATGGAGCTGCAGTTTTTCAATATTTTCTGGTAAATAAGACTAAATTTATGCTACCAAGAAATTGTATGATACCATATATCGATTTTCAGGATATATATTGGTACCAAACTCCTGATTTATTGATGTCATTTGGCATCCACAGAGTTTAATAATAGAAAAATGGCATAAAAACTGTAATTCGTAAGTCTGTGACTTAGGAATGTTTGACCATGTTTATGTTGCCATTTGGTTGTTGTAGTTAACGGATTTTGTCATTTGTTGGCTTCATTTATAGGCAGTGATCAACAGCACAATTACACCCAATATGACCTTCACTAAAACATCACAGAAGTTTGGCCAGTGGTCAGATGTCCGTGCCAACACGGTGTACGGTCTAGGATTTTCATCAGAAGCAGAGCTCACTAAAGTGAGTTTTCTTATTCTTTGACTGTACTAGGACAGAATTATTTTACTTAATGATAATGATGTTCTGTCAAAATATATTTATGCATTGATAATTGGCATATATTCTGTTCCAACCATCTGATCAGTATTTATTACTGTTTATAATCTACTTTTAGTTTATTGAGAAATTCCAAGAAGTGAAAGAAGCAACTCGCCAAGCAGCTTCAAAGCCAACAACAAATGGCACTGGTGGTAGCACTGGCACTGGTGTCACACCTGTAACAAGTGCCAATGCAAGTCCCATAACTGCACGAGCCTGTGTTCCTCCGCCCCGATCTACAGAGACTCTGTTGCCACCAAGTGACTCGACACTGTTGCTGGACCCTCCAAACAGCACCAACACCACAACTGCCTCTTCGCACAACAGCACCATCAATTCGCCAGCACCAGCTGCTGCTTCCACTGTAGTAAGCAACAATGCAGTGCCTAATGTAGTGATAGGAGGGTCTGCTGGAGACTCCAGTACCTTGAAATCTTCAATGACTGCTCATCAACGCAGCCAGTCTCTTTCAGGACTTCAGGTACTGACATTGTTTAGGCGGTTTTTAGTATCCAGGTGAGATTTTAGGTTCTCACAGCTGCATCATATAGGCTGGTAGAAGTTAACTGATTTTCCTGCTTTGCTATCTCTGAAACGTCAGTAAACTAATACCAGACAACACAGTGCAACAACCCAGAAGACAATCATCAAGTAAAGCTGTCCTGCTAGATACCATGTAGGCACTTTGGGGGGGGGTATAGCTCCTACTCGTTGTTAATTTCGGCATTAGTTAAGGGGTGATCGGTCAGCGTCATGCGCTGGCTGCATTTCCTGGGAAATTACCCCGGTACCCATTGGACACGAGGCTGGATAGGTTGCAGAGCAGGTCCGGATGCAGAGGCTGGAGGAACAATTCTCTGCCCCCATTGGAAATCAAACCCTGGTCATCCAGTCCATAGGCAGTTGCTATACTGACTGAGCTACACCTGCTCCTTTCAGATTACCGTCCAGCTCATATATTGGGCATTCTTCCACCATCTTCAAATCTGATGTCCATGCAGCATTACATCTCAAAGATCAAAATTTAGTTTTAATGTCCGGGCAGTTTATTGATGAGTGAGAGAGATATATTAACTCTGTCAGTTAGTACCAACAGAGCACAATTCAGTTTCTATTCTTACATATTTCACGTTTCTCGGCTTAATGGACGGGATACGAGTTAAATAATCAGATGCTCTTGACCATCTTGATAGAATTATAGGTTTGTAAGGTATGAGTGTTATCTGCCCTTTAGAATTTAACAATATTACAGTGTTGAAACCATTGAAGGTAGGTGCTTCATTTAATGTACTTTCTTCAAAAGCTGTCAGGTAAGTTGCATTATCTTACAAATCTGTTTCTTCTTTTATAAACCAACTTTAAAATGAAATAGACTGTGGTTAAAATTGTGTTGTATGCATCCAGCCTGGTGAAAGTCCCAAGCATCAGGCGAAGACTACAGGGGATAAACCCCCAGCACCTGCAGCGGTAGTGACTGCCATTTTTTTTTCTCAGCTGAAGTATGAGAATGACCGACTGAAGTTGGCCTTGGCACAGAGGTAAGTAATGTTGACTGTATATAGGCCATGAGAAGTCTGCTGGAAAGTAGGAGGAGAAGGTGATCTTACTGTGCACATTACACTTCACCTATTCCTGTACAAAATACGTTATGTGCCAGTAGTCCCCAATCCCAGTATTTAGGAGGAGTTGCTGTTGTTAATGAGGGTAACCTTAGTATTCAGTTCTAGGACTTTTTGCTGATTCTGATAATACTAACTTTCTTTATAGTTCAGCAAATGCAAAGAAGTGGGAAATAGAACTAGCAACACTTAAGAATAATAATATGCGACTTACAAGCGCCTTACAAGAAAGTACTGCCAATGTGGAGGAGTGGAAACGCCAGCTACATTCCTACAAGGAGGAAAATCAAAGAATGAAGACAAAATATATTGAACTTGAAGCTGCCAAAGGTATGTGATTATCACAAAGATATACATCCCCCCCCCCTATTTTTCTGTTTCTGTACAAGCTAGCATTCAGTATAGGTAATTAAAAATAAATAATTGTAAATTATGATTCTTAAATGTCACAGTCATAGCACTTGGATGTAGATGCTATATTCCAATTAAATTTGTCTTCTACATGCTATAATGTAATGGGTATCGTAAATAAAATATATCTGCATACTTCACATTAAAATCTATGCCAGAAGTAGACCAGAGTTCTTTCATCAAAGAAGGAAATAGGAACTGAAGTTGTTTGTTTTGCTGTCAGATATAAATGGAGTATGAAACATTTTGGTGTCTCATGCGGTGTAATTTTGCACAGGAAGCACAGAAGCTGCTGCAGAATTGCGAAAAGAATTGCAGTCGTTACGTTCACGTGTTGAGAGTTTGGAACAGGAACTGAAAACAAAGGATGAGGAGATAAAGAGGCTTTGTAAACAACAATCTTTGCCAGCTGATCAACAGTCGCTGCAGGGTCGTTCTCAGGATGAACGCTGCAAGGTGAACTTTGACTTACTGCATAATATTTGTTTACAGTACTGTTATAACATTATTTCACGACACCACTATTAAAGTTGGATATCACCCATTATCTGAGGTATATTTTATATACACAGAGTTTAGGAGTTGCCTGTACTCCTGTCTTCAGTTGATCAGTTTTTTTTTTTAAATGCTATTATTTTTGGAATTCTGTCCAAAGGCAGTAATTTCAAAAATAAAATTCTTCGTTATAATAACAATCACCAACAGGTTGTAGGCACTCCTTGCATAAGAATACAATAGTTCAAAGGTCATTACCTTTTAATTTATGACACTCATGAAAATTTGTACAAATAAGGTTACAGTTACAAGAAAAAATGGTTTTAGAGTACTGACATTTTGTTGATTTATGCTTTTAATGAAAAAACATATATTACAGAAAGACTTTTAATATGATTTGTACCTGTTGTCTGTTTCATTGTATGTGTCAGCTGATCTGTTGAATGCCCTTTTTGTTACAGAACCTCCAGCAGGAGAACACAGAGTTGCAGGCTGCTGTATCGTTAGCACAGGCACAGTTGGAGACTGCTCTGTCAGCTCAGGAATCCCAAAAGCGTGTTCTGGAAACGCTGAATGCACAGCTAGCAGCGCGACTACAAGAACTGGCTGGAATTCATCGTGAGATTGCCACAGCTTTACAGACATGAGAGGAGGTTCACAATATTCCTTATTGGTCAACTGTGTAACACTCTTCTGCAGCTTAACTGTCATGACAAGGTGAATGAACAAACACGTGTTTCCTCATTCTGTAAGAGACATCTTTATAGATGATTGAAATGTTAAAGTGTGGTTAATAAATTTTGAAAGAAGAAAAACGTAGCAAAGTAGGTGGAAAATTTTTGCGTAAAGAAAAAGGTAGAAATGATGAAAGTTTGGTAGAAATTTCTCTTATTAAAATTAATATGACAATGTTAAGTTTGTTTTACATACAATGAATTTTTTAAATACAAAATATAGAATGATGAAGCATTGAAACATTGTGTATAAAATTCAAACCGTACATAATAATTACCGTGTTTCATGAATGTTACCGTGAAGCTGAGATGACCATTGAAGTTATTTAAGAATAGTTGAAGTGCAGTGTTTTAAATTTGAGAAAATTTTCAATACACCCCCATTATATAATACAAATGGAATAGGTTTACACACTGAGTTGAATGGGAACATAAAAGGGCTTTATCCGTCTGAAGGTATGGCATATGCTTTAATCGTCACTGTTGCAAAACTTTAGATAAAAGTTTGTGAACAGGTATTGAAAATACTCTCATGTTATGTTAATCTTACGAGAAATTCCAGTTTTTATGAGAGCAAGATATGCAGCTAAAAATAATATGTGTACAAAGTTTTAAATTGTGACTTGGTGCTTGTCCATCGTTACTTTTTCCAAATTCTTTGCATGGAAAATAGTTGATAGTTTTGATGTTGTATTTTTTCCCTGCAAGACTGATGTTTGTTAATTAAAGTAGAAATAGTGTGTGCTGAATTTGGTACACAATTTGAACTTCTTATACAGCAGATGAAATAGAAGTCTACTCAGTTAAAAATGGAGATGTCAGTTTTAAGGATTGTATAGAGCTCCCCCTTTACTTTTAATTAGCAATTTGTTAAAATCTATGTGTAAGTTAATTTCTCCAAGGTTTATTTCACATTTATTATGGGAGCAGAATCTTTGGATCATTTAGAGGCTGAAAAATTTCAATTTGGTGATTCCCTTGGTTGCACAAAGTTCTCAATGCAAATGTCAGTTCCAGTGTTGTTATGTGATGAAACCAAAAATGTCTCATCCAAATGTACATTATCGAATAAACCCTATACTACGTTGCCACATTTCATGGAATTCAGGGGAACTGCTGCATGTATTGATATATATCTTGTATTTGTTTAGAGATCTGAATAAAATAAGTATCAGCTCTTTTATAACAATAAATATTTTACATTGTAATATATTAGTAGTAAAACTTTCTTTCTTTTTATGTAATAAACATTTTTGAATGACTTATATAAGTTGTTAGATATATAATGGTGGTACACTGTGTATAGTAAAATGTGTTGGGCGAGGCAGCTGGTTCTGCACAAACTCCCCCAGAGAGAAATAATTAATCACCACTGCTAACACTGCCCAACAGTTGGAATTTGTTGTGATAACAGTATATACACATTCAGTTCAATGAATGATGTTGCAATTGTAAGTGATAGTGTGCTTAAGTAGTCAGGATTAAGTCCTGGCACTTTCATGTTTGAGATACTCTTCAATTTTCTTTCCTATTATAAGTCGGCTTTATTATTGAATATATATTGCTACGAGACATTTAATTTCTTGTCCTTAATTTTATATTTACACTTTGATTTTATTTGTACGGAGCCAGGATAGCTCAGTCAGTACAGTGACTAACTACGAGTTGGACGCCTGGGGTTCGATCCCCAACAGGGGAAGAGGATTTATCGTCTAGCCCCTTTGTTTAGACCAGCTCTGGGGCTCACCCAGCCTGCTGTCCAGTGGGTACCAGCATCCTTTTCTGGGGGTAAAGCGCGGCCAGGGCGTGATGCCGACCGCACACACCCATTTAGTGCTGAGGTCAAAAATGAGTAGGAACTATACCTCCACTCTCCCCAAATGACCTACAAGGCATGTAGTGGGACTGGTTTACTTTACTTTATTTTTATTTGTACAGTGAACTTGAATAGTTATATTAACATTGAAAAGTTAGGGAAAATATTTATAATTAACAGGAAAATGGAGCCAAGATTACATGCATATATTTATTTACATAAAATTCAAAATATAGTTTGTTAAGTTAATTTTCATCTTTTATTTTATGCCATATGTGGTGTATATGTGGTATACTTGATATGAATTTTTGAAAGTCCAAAGAGAGTCCCTTCAAACCATTACATAAACTAGATGAGTCAATATGTTGTAAGTAAATGCACTTTAGATTAGAAACTCACAAAATTGTTCTAATACTTATAGAGCTGCAAGTAAATGTAGTTCAACTCTGTTCTAATATGTATCTGTATTATGATATTACGTATCTGTATTATGATATTATCATGGCACAAAGATCAGTTTTACACTGAACAGCCTGAACCAGATATTGGTCACATAATGAGTATTTATATTTTACCATCTTCCAAGTAGAACAAGTGCTGTATATTAAGTAATATGTCCTATATTCATGGTATTTTATTGCCAAGGGTGATGAATTAAATGGCAGTATAATTTTAATTTGAAGCAGAAACCACCGGTTTTCATTGTTTTAAGAAGAATGTAGACACAAGCTAGTACAGAGTCTCCTCAAAACTGGTGTTCCCTTTCCGACAGACTTCTTGATCATGCACAAGAATAAATACTAATTCATTCCATCAAATTGAGAATCTCATTGTAAGGGAGACGTATGCACTGATCTGTGCATCCTTACTCGTTTCTCTTTCTATTTTATGGTATAAACCTTATCCAATAAATGAATTTAACATATACTGCTTATTTGTCAGCAGAGACTGGTTTTCTCATAAGTGGAAAAGTCTGTGGTGGCATTTTTTGTTTCATTTTACACAGAACAGTAGAGATTCTGCGTGTTTTTAATAGGATCACTTTTAATACTAAGTAGAGCAAGCTCACTATGGATACTTGTGAAAAATTATCAGTATATACTCAAATTTAAAACAATGTTGTTTGAGTGAGATTTCAGGTTCTCATTGCAGTGAATGTGAAGATGGATGTCTTCTGGGCTGTTGTGCCGTGTAGTCTGGTAGACTTTACTGACATTTCAGAGGTACTTGCTGCCTTCATCATCAGTACAACAACCCAGAAGGCAGCCATTTTCAGGCTTGTTTAAGGTCAGTTAACAAACATTGAACTTGTTAATCCTATACCTTGAATCATGCTATATCAGATACTTGTATTCACTTTGAGATAGTGTTGGGATGATCTAAGCTAATGATGTGGATGTCTGTTAGGTCATTAAGTATTTCATATGAATGGTGTCAGGCAGCGTGTTTTAAAATATCTAGGGGGAGGGAACATTTGAAATGGTGTGTTATTGCAAAACTAGATTGAAATTTGTAAGAAAAGACTGAAATATGAGTGTGGTGCTGTTAATGTTATGATTAAGTAAAGTTTCACAACTGCAAATGCACTCTGCTCAATGGTTATATTGATTTGTATCCCAAATACTGCAGTTATGTAGTATGTTATAATTTGTACATATGTTTGGACTGGGTATGAGTATTGTGTACAAGCATTTAATGACAGTACACAAGTTTAATTTTATATTGAGCTGTATTTTTTAATTTTTTATATAAACATTGTTTTACATCTCATTATTTTAAGCCAACAAATGGATTTTAGTGGTAGAAAGTCTTTCTTCACACACACATGCAATAAGCCTGCCTCATAATTTCATTCTGTCTGATTTAAATTTGGCAAAACTTGTATGTCTTCGAGAACAATTTAAATAACAAGACAGTCTTTATTTTACAAGCACATTTTACAAATATATAATATTCATTGAAACCTGTATACTTGGTATATGAGACATTGTAATGACAAGTACAGTACATTTAGTTGAGAAGGAAACTTCATTCTTCTGATTATCTGATGTCAAACTACTGTGCATCACACGCAGATCAGCACAAGTTATTTCCTGTAAGTGCTTGTGACATGTATCAGCCTCAGCTTATTACAAATTCCTTTGTTAGGTCTTTTTCTATTAATTTAGACATGGACTACCAATTTCTCACATACAGCTGCAGCATTCAAAATGTCAGTGAGATAGAAAGGATAGGGAGTGGGCATCCATATCGGTTTTGCCAGGTACTGACAAATAGTTGTACTATCTGTACTGATAACATAGCTCAAAACTGATGGTTTCTTATTTATTGATTTACTAGTGAAATGTGTAAAAATGATTGTCCTGTAATGGAGCTGCCAGTTACATGGTTTTGTCCACCATAAATTATACATTGTGTCCCATACCATTTTGATAGGATTCAAGTCAGTTTGAAATTAAGACTGACAGACAGATTTGAACCTGCCTACTTGGTACCTACCCTGTGAATGACTAGTGTATCATATCAGCAGGATAAAGACTGATCGCCAGCAAAACATTCTCTTTGTTCTCGGTGTTGTAAAGTTTCCTCCTCAATTGAACACTTTGTATGATACACAATGTATCCTTTCCAATTATTCCTTATTCCAAAATGGGCAGGTATGAAATACAAAGGCAATGTCAGAAATTTTTAATATTTGATTACTGGTATGTATATAGAAGTGGTTGTATTATTTTCTGCCAAGAATTGTGTGTTTTATGTACATTCTGGAAGAAAGAAGGTATTAAAGACCAATGAATGCTGGGGATTGTGATACAGGTATTTTTATTGGTGTTCCTCAGATTTGTAGAATATGTGGATCGGGTCCCATGAGAAGAATCCTCCAGAATTTGAAAGTCATGTTTATCCATATGACATACTTTAGACCAAGAAACTTCAATATATCTTTAAAAACCTGAGATCCCAAATGGGTTACAGAAATCTTCCAGCAGAATTAGAAAATGGGTGGAGGAAAACATGAAAGCGAATTCAGGAGATACCCCAAGTTCAACCAATTCACTTGTGAATGAAAATATCTTTAAATTGTTTCCCACTTCAAATATCTAGAAGTTACCCTTAGAAACATGTGAGGCATCTTTTGCACTGCATATATCAAAGCTAGTCATGACATTCCATTTATTAAGGCATGGCCTTAGATCATTTCCAACCGAAGATTTCATTGCCTAGTACTGACTATTATTCGATGGGGAATAATAATTGTGAGGTAAAACGCATTCTGTGCTACGTCAGCCGCAACAGAATATTACGACAGACTAATTAACGATATTAGAAGAAATATCGAATAAAAAATATATAATGCTAACAATAAATCTCTTTGCTCAAAGATAAATATAAACCTTAATCTTTGGATCACAGCACAGATGAAGAGATGAAAATGTTGTAGTAAAGTATTTAAGACTGAAAGCATAAAATTTATGTGCGGATAATAGAGGAGATTGCGTTTAAATTCCATTCAGTCAAATGATTTCTTACTTATAAGTGTTATAAATGGCTGGTATTTCTGTTGCAAGATCATGGCAAGTAAGTATATGCAAACAACAGTAATGGAAATTGGTTTGATTCAATGGACAGGGAAGTCGTCCGCAAAAATTCAGAATGCTTTGTAATAAGGCCTTTTTAGATTTCAATTTACCTGCCTCATAATATTTCACAGAAACTAACGTATTCATTTAGTTTTCTTTTTCTTGTGAGAATAGAGTCAATAGTCGCAGTAGAATCTATTTTAACCTATCTGTAACAATATGGCTTGAGTAACGACTATTATACTCCAGGACTCTGTTCCAGACCAGCTAAGTACAGGTCGCATTTTTACGACAAATTTTTCCGAGACAGTTTAACATACTTTAGTATTTATATGTACGTGGTATCCTGAATGGTTTCTTCATTCTGAGCCCCCGCCCCCCAAGTGTACTAATATATGTCACCATCTTTATTTAATATTCGTATGGGTAACAAAATTTAATGAAAACCACCTCATTGTGTGATTGTCATAGTTATTATTTTTTCTTCAAGTGATGTGTCCACACTTTGTATCTTACTGATAGAGAACAATATTGGTTGATTTCAAGTTCTGTGTTTTGTAAACTTTGCTGTATTAAACCACGTATAATCCATATTGACAGCATAACTCACCAATATTTTAACTTTATATTTCATCTTCAACTACAGCTTAACAACCTGAGCAGGCACAAAGGTGATTTTTTCTGATTATTAATTTTGCTTTTAATTCATAGGTTATCAGACCACATGTACCAATGATAAAATTCAGGAAAGGAGGTCGCTTAGTTGCAGGTAAGATTTGCATTTTGAAACATAAAAAGCTTGCATTTAATTCATGAATATTTTGTGTGCAATTGGGGAAGTTTAATTTTATGAAATAAAACAGGAACGTAGTACAAAGATTTTCAGAAGGTAAGATTAGAAAGGGAGGAGTAATCTACATAATTCTATTGAGGCTTGTCAAGAGGCTGCCTTTCTGACACATACACATGTGCATATTTTAGCCATCATACACAAATAATTGTGTGTGGGGGGGGGGGGAAGTGCTGTGCTATCTGTGCACTTCTGTCAAGAATATTCTCAGAGCTGGAAAAGGTTATACTAATTTCAGAGCACATACAACATTTTTTAAAGACACAGAATAGCATACACACAAACGTTACTTCAGGAACAGAATTTGCATGTTAATATAATACCAAATAATTGCTATGAAATTCACATACATCCTGTACCATAACTTCAGTGTTCTTTGATAGGTAATATTGTTCACTGTATGGCATGGACTCCAGTGCTAAATGGATTCATTTTGGTCTCTAGAAGTCTACTATTTGTTTTGCACTTTGATAAGGATTTTTCTCTAATGCAGGCTTACGTATCACATGATCCATACAAAATGTCTTTTCAGAAACTGGTATATCAGATGGACATCCTTGTTCCAAGGAATGTAATGCAATATTATTTCTTGAAAAGTGGGAGTTAATTTCACCCTTTGAGTGTGGGAAATATTGTAAAATATTTCTTGTAATAGTTCCTTAAGAAAGGTGTCTGATATATTCTTAAGTGGAATTATGCGTTGGTTGTAGGCTCAGAAGGCACTGTGACCCCAACACCACAACATGCCACAGGATCAGCTGGGGCAGGAAAGAAGACCAACATTGCTTCAAGACCTGTAATTGAAGACTATCAACTCCCACTCCGGTATCGCAGACAGCCAATTGATGAAAAGGAAATTGCCTATATTAATGTATGTAAGCTGATAGTACAGTTTTCTTGAGAATGCATGATGTAGAACATTGACATTAAATTACTTGTGTTTGGAATGGGGTAAGTTATTTTAAAGCTGATATCATGTGTTTTTGTTTACTTATTCATGCACATTTTTTCAGAGAGGTGGACCAGAGTGATACCGACAGTCTGCGTGAGAAGACTGTAAAACAGCACTAACCAGTTCTGATTAGTTTTGGATAATTAGACTTCATTTGTTGTTCAGTTAGTTTGTTGTGCAGAATGTGGAACATATTTATATACTGCAGGTCATGAAAAATTTATTTAATAGTAATTGTTAATCTTCATTATATATAAATTAATTAATTTTTGTGTTATGGAAAAAGTTCAATATTTAGTATGTAGTTAAAATTGTTCTCAAGTTGTTGGTACCCTATATTAACCTGTTTAAGGCATTGTGTCTGTAATCAAGTGAATAAAATTGGAACGTTGTGAAGCAGCAATGAACTAATTATGCCACCTGTTGATAAGTAGCATGTGATAATGGTGCTACTTTATTTTGCCACATTTTTGAGCAGTTTAATTCTGGAACTGGCCTTTAAATTTATGTATATTTTTTTATAATAAGTGTCTTTCTTTGTATAAAGTTCCAAATAGGGGCATTCTATAATACAGTTGGGAAAAAGTAGTGTATATTGAAGTTATGTCTCCTATGAGATGTGTATAAATATAACCGTTTACTGATAGGAGAAATATTTAATTTATAATATGAATTCAAAAATGTTTTCGAGTGAGATGTTAAAACACGAGTTTTATAGGAATCGGTAATGAAGAAAATAAAAGGTAATAGTGTTTGATAATGGACACTTGCAGAATTTACTTGATTTTTGCTATCATTGTTATGACATTATCCCCAACTTAACCTTTATCATAATGACAATAAGGTATTTAAACACTTGTATTATGTGACTGTTAACTGGACTTTAAACTCTAGGTTTGATGGTTTAGCTGAATGTTTCTGAAGCACACAACCAATTGGACTGGGCATATACCATAATGCACATTGATAGAGGTTAAAAAAAGAGTTAGAAATTAGTAAATTGACTAAAAAATTGGTGTTGGGCTAGGACCTGTAAGTAGAACTATTCCATTAACTCCAGAATTTAAGTCAGACTGTGGATGTTGAAGACCTGTATGCCCTCATATTTCATCAACTGATTAGCATTCATACATCTAAATCTGAAGAAAAGTAAACCAGTGACAAGGCCATCTCAGGTGAGAAATAAAAATAGCAATAAAAGTGCACATAAAGTATCTGTGGTTAGTGATGGAGGGAATCCTTGGAGGTCCCACATTTAACATAAAAGATGGGATGGACAGGAATTTTATCTTTCATGCCATGCCCCAAAGATCATTATGGCCCACCCAATGGATACTAGTCTCTCCAAAACCTGGAGCAGGGTTAGATGGAGCATGAAGTTTACAAAGTACTAACATCATATACCGAAGTTCAAAATGAGCAGGTAGTTCATACATTATGTATATTGGGATGGTATGTCAGCATAGGTTCAAATTTTGGTTTTTCCTTTTTTGTGGGGATGCATACTGAAGATGCGTACAGCTTTGCGTAACCAAACCCGTTTTATATTGAAAATTATTGAGACAGTCAATTTGCGACGTCATCCGAACAGTGATCAGTAAAAATATTGTGATCCGCCCATGACGAAATCTGGGTGTACAAGTATATCTGCATCTGCATGTTGCAGTATGAGACCAAGCCCCGTAGATTTCTCTCTAACGTTTATTCACTTCGTGATCTTATCTGTTTCTGCAACATAATGCTGCTTCGTACTCAACAAATAACATACATCCACCAAGCTTCACTTAAATTTACAAGATCATATAATTTTATCTTTAAATTCGCGGAAAATTTGCTTGGTAACACTGCACTATCGGTACCTGCGCAAGATGGTTGCGTGTTCCGGTGCTTGAACCGGAGTTGGTGTGAGTGAATGTATTGTAATGAGACAATGAAGATTCGTTATCAGAGAGGAAGAGGCTGTTATTGGAGAAGTGCGGGTTTTGTATTCAATATTTAAGGATGTTTTTCAAAGTGATTTTGTTTGTTTTATTTATAAGCCATGTTTGTTATAGTGGCAAGGAAGAAGAAGAAGGCGTAAAATATGCAAATAAATGCGAAGGTAGATTAGTTGTAATTTTTAATACATAATTCAATTAAATAATTTCTTGGAGTTGTATGTGAGATGATAACAAAAGGCTTTTTAGTGTGGTGAACGGCAAAATGCTGTTCTGGTCGACGTTTTAGTATTTGGTTATGTTCATTTTATGTTACAGTTTGTAAAATCTTAGCAACAGAATTGGAATCAAGATTAGATGAAACGGGGAAAACGCATGAAGTTTTGGAACTTGGCTATTCAGTAGATGATGTTAAACCGAAGCGGAAGACCAAGTATCAGAAATCGTAAGTATCAGGATGGCGAAAGTAGTGTAATGAAGCAGTTCCTGTTATGCATGCTTCAGATAGTAAAAGTATAGTGTGCACATAATAGCTCTTAAGAACAAGGAATTATGAATGACATGGTGACATCCATGCGCTTCAGAATACTTACGAAAAGAAAATGTAGTTAATTTCATAAAGAGAAGTGATTTCCAGTCTAAATTAAAACTGAAGTGGGTTAGCAACTTTTCATATTTTACAGTATCTTTAACCATTTTTAAGTGTCCCATCTCTGTTGATTATCTTTGATTTATTTCTTTTGTTTTAATTGTCTAAGATTCACTTTTGTAACAAAGTTGGTAATGCTACAACTTTATAAAATAGTACTGTTCTTAACTTATTTATTTCTTACCACTTAAAATGACATGTCTTATTGATAAATGTTGCATGACAAAATAATTACTCTGAAAATGAATTCCCTCCAGTTCAGTGTCAAGGTGGACTACATTTGTGCCACATATTAAAAGGCAAGATGTTTATGTGGACTACTATACAGTAAAAATCCACTGAAAGTAGAATGTTTTTTTCCCCAGTGAGTTACGTCTTGTCGAATCTTTAGATGGCCTTTGTGAGAGAGTATTACAGTACAACATTCATAAAGAACGTGAAGATAGTACAAGATTTGATAAAGGCATGAGCCAGACGTTTAGAACACTTCATGGATTAGTGTAAGTAAAACAAGTAAGGAAATGTATGCATAGCATAACAGTTCTGACAACATTCACTCTGTTATTGCCTCAGTTTATGACTACTAATTTTTAATAACTTTCTTATTAATATCATAAAACAGCATACACATGTAAGACTGATTTTAATTTTTCACACCAGCCTAATTGCAAGGTAGGGAATGGATAGTGACATGGCAACAAATGATAAAAGAGTCTAAAAATATAGGACTTTAGATTCTCACAGTAGTGAGTATGAAGATGGCTTGTCTTCTGTGTTGTAGCATCATACTGTCTGGTAGATGTTTATCAGCATTTCAGAACATGATACATCATTACACTTGCATGTTCCTCATTGTTGATTATGAATAAACTTTATGTATTGTTTTCTTGTGTTACTTATGTCACATATGTATTTTTAGGGATAAAGGTGTGAAGGTAGACTTGGGGATTCCATATGAATTATGGGACAGACCCTCAGCTGAAATAACGAACATGAAGACTCAGGTAATGTTTTATCAATCCGTAGTTGTTTTAAAACGCATAGCCATGTTTTTATATATAAAATAGCACTTGGTAAATTTCAGTCAGTTACAGTTAACTTTGATGTCAGATTTTTATGCAGTCTCTTTTAAGTTGGCAGTAATCAGTTCTTGATCTGGGATGGTTTGCGCAACTGTCGATTCTAAGAAACGAGTTTTTTAGCTCTTTTTGACAGTGTTTGGATTCATCTACATTGAGTATGAAGATGACTATCTTCTGGGATGCTGTATATTGAATTTCTCTATTGCCATGGCAACATTTGAAGGAAGTGATAATTCACATAACATACATCCCCCCTTACATATGTTTTATCACATTTTGTATGCAATTGGGTTCTTTTTTGTTGCAGTGTGAGTCACTGCTAGAAGAAAATGAAATGGCCATAGAAGACTGGTATTTCACTCACCAGGGAAAAATTTCACTTAAACAGTTCCTGTGTTCAGATAAAGCTCTGAAGGGAGAAAGTGATAAATGTCTTGATGAGAGATTCCCATCAATGTTACCGGAGGAAATAAAACCAAAGGCTCAGAAAAAGAAGAAGAAGAAGGGGAAGAGTGAAGAGAAGCAGCCCAAGGATGATATCGACGAATCAGATTTAGAACCTATGTTTGTGAATGTAAAAGAAGAACTGTAATGTCGCAGTCACGATGAACAATGAATATTCAGTGTTTAAAATGTTGCTTTCTGACTAGTCAATGACAAGATGTCATGCAGGTGATACAAGATATGGCTCAGCAGTGCACACAAATATTCTCTAACAAGAAAACATTCCAAGAATCAAATTGCAGGGAACTGTAGAGCTTTATTTAAGATTTGATGCAGAAAACCTTACACTGTGAGTTTTCAAAAATTTAAATGTGTATTTATCTGAACATATTTTATAGGAAGAAACTATGTTTCCAGAAATATGACAGGTAAAATGTAAATTACCAATTATGTAAAGAAATTGGAAGATTAAATACTGCATGGTGACAGTATCTCCCAATTTACTGAGGCTTGCCACGGAAACAAGATGTTCATCTGTACTTCATGTACAAGATATTTAAGAATTAACATCTCCACCATTTCTGGACCACTTCAAGTGTTTAGGAAAAGACTTTGGAAAGTAAATATAGTTTGTTGAGTATACAGTTTCTTCTAAAAAAGGACCTTTATTTTATATTAAGTAATAAACACTATAATCTCTGTTACTATAACTAAAAGAGCAAGATCTTCATCATCTCACTCCTTACTTTTTAACATTGCTCTCTTTCCTTCTCCTCTTACTGGTTTTACCTTGCCCCTTAATGCTCTAAGTCTTGTCATTTCTTCTTTAAAATCCTGATGCTCATCTCTGAAGAGCCCATAGTCTCGTAACCTCATCATCAATTTATGAGTTTCAACATGTCGTGGATAATAATCCACCATATAGGGTTGCTGATATATGGGATTTTCACTGAACAACTTCACCACTTTCATAGACTTTGAATTAGTGTTACGAACCACCTCGCCAAATATTCGTCTGCTTAATCTGTTCATTCTAATTGCATAGTTTGTTCCAACATTTGCAAGTTGCAAATACTTATTCATTCCTGACACTTAGTCACTTTCTGACACCAATAAAAACCTGAAAAAGATAAACCAATTTCAAATTAGTTTCTTCACATCACATTTTCTCAAACTGGGGAGCAATAAAACATGGAGCCCCTGAGGGGTCAATTGTAGGACCCTTGCTTCTCATATACATAAATTACCGTCTTCCAAAAATAAGTACATTAAAATAATCCATAATATTAGTTGATGACAAAAGTGTCATAATTTCTAGCAAAAACTTTGATCAAGTGTGTGCAACATCATATGAGTTAATGATTTACTGCTAATAAGCTGGTCCTAAATCTAGATAACATAAATACAATAACATTTATAACAACTCACCATAGTGTGCTCAAGGTAATGGAAATAATGCAAAGTATATACATGAGTCAGCAACTACAAAATTCCTAGGTCTGCAAACTTATAACCTAAATTGGACAAATCATACTGATAAGCTGATACCTAACTAAAGCTGCATGTCAGTAACAAAGACTTTAATCACTTTACTTTGCCTATTTTCCCTCCACAATAAAGTATGGAATAATTTTGGGGTTTAATTCATCAAACAGCCAAAATATATTAACTTAACCAAAAAAACTTAGATTAATGGTTGGTGCAGAAGTTAATTCAAGAGATCAGAGATATTTACTCTTCCACAACAATACATATTCTCATTAATGAAATTCATTGTAAACAACCAAGAGCATTTTCAAACCAATTCTGCTGTACACAGTATCAACACAAGGAATTAGAATCAACTTCATGGATGAAGTTCCAACCTCTCATTTCTGAGGGATGCACGGTGCAATAACCAGCGATCTTCAAATTTTCAACAGTTTACCATCAAGTCTTCTAAATAAAATGGCATAATTTAAGGTAACATTAAAAATATCCTTAACTGCATACTCCTTTCACAATGTTAATCAATTTCTAATGTTCACAAATTAGTCACAATGTTCATCAAAGTTTTCTTGTCTTCATATATAAATGGGTAATGAAATTTATCTGCATGTAATAGGTGGATGTATTTGTAACAAACCACTAATAATGTGAAATCGTATGAATTGTCTTTATTATGACCAATTCCACATCCTGTTGTCATCTAACTTATGGATGCATGCAATGTAGTAAAGCTGTATGTATAATGAAACTGTAATTATAACAACGGTCATTACACACCCACCTACTCATCAACACAAAGAAACAAATAAGAATTTTCTCACACAAAAATAAAAATGTTTTCTACCTGCCGATCCCGTAAACTACTTTACCATCACAAGCCTCTGCCCTTGCCCCCTACTGTTTGTTTTCTGAGTTTCTTCCATTGGTATTCAGTGACAGGAATTGAAAGTATACGTCCGTTGCTTATCTAAAGTCTGTGCTTTTCAGTGTCTGACAAAAACGAGAAACCAACGGTCTAGCATCTTTGGTATCATATCTTTGTGAAGAAGTGAGCTCGTACGTTAGCTATGGTCGGAATTATCTGTGGTGAGATGTAAATTATAAATCATGCAGGATGGTAAGATGTTACGGTAGTAAAATGAAAGTTTAGGTATTAGTGTTTGATTGTAACTGTGTTCTTTATAATTTAAACTCCATTAATATTCGTGTGGCGTGACCTTGCTTCCTTTTTGCTCTGTGTGAATGTGTTGGTAGTCCGTGGGAAAAAAAATAATCTCGGCTTGATATGTCATGCGCCATAGTGTTGTTGGTAATCACTGTGGTGTAGTTTTCCTAAAATATTTGGAAATATATGGGCTGTTCGTGAGTGCAAGTTTAACATCTTCTAAATTTAATGAGTAATTAATCGTGCTGGAAAAGATTTTCCCATAAACATCTCAAGGTTGCAATTCTAAGCACAGCAGCCATCCATGAGTAGCACTGATGTCACATGTTTTAAGTTTAGAGAACAGGATTACTGACAATTAAAAATTTGTTTTTGCAGTTGTGACTTTATGAAAAACTGAAATGTCTTCATGCCATGCAGATGAAAATTCTCAGTCCACTATAAAATCCAGAGTTATTGGTGTCAAAATTGATGGCACTGAGACAGACATAGTTTTAAATGAGTACAGGTGAGTTATATTTGGAAGATCCTGGGTTCAGATATTGTTCCAAAGGACAGCTATCCTGGAAAAGGTTTTTCATGTTTTTCCAATTATTTATTAATTAATCGTATTGTTCAGAGCTTTTTAGTCAGTTACTGAATCATTGTTAAATAAAGTTCAAACAAAATTATAATCTATATATATATATATTACTTGTGAATGTTACTTTGTACAGCAAAAAGTAAAGTAAATGTAATTACCAAGTTTTTGAAAAACTTTTTTACACATTATTTTATTGAATTTGACATATGATAAATTGCATATAACATTTTATTCTATAACAGGGATCGACTCTTCATTATATTGACGCAATATAAGAAATTTGGATCACTTATTTCTATATGCAAAGAAACAGTACACAATAACAACGGTTGCAGTGAAGTGTATCAAGTTAGGTAAGATATAGTTTGTCTTTGTAATGTAGGATAAAAAATTGTGTAGTGTGTTTGAACCCAAGTTTATTCTCTAACATGCTTTGTTCCAGTATTATTCTGTTTTCAATTTTCAATGCTGTATATGTAGTGGGTCATTTGTGTAATCACTCCTTGCAATGTGTGCTGGTACATTCCTGGAATATTACGTGTTGATCAAAACTACATTCAGCACACTTGACATCCAGATCTGCAATCAGTAACATTCAGTGCAACTTTGCATGAGCAGTGGCAACTGCTTCTGGTTTCAGTTTTTATTATCTGTGTATTGCAGAACAATTCTTGGTCAGGAAAACACAGCATTTCACCTGGCTGTTCGCTACTTGACAGAACAAACTCAGATGACCAAACCAGCATTATACTCCATCTGTTTGAAGGACTGCAGCGTACAGACATTGAAAGCTATAAAAGAAATAATTCTTCAGAATAAGACGTGGTGAAGCACGGTAATAAAATTGTTTTTATGATTTGGAGTGTATGGAGTAGTATCTTTTTCAGTGTGGAAATGTAACATCATGAGTGGTAAAATTTTCAGGAATGATGAACAGCTTTGGACAGCTTATCATAGGGCCGCCCGGAAGTGGCAAGACAACATACTGTCATGCAGTGAGCAAGTTCCTTGAAAGCATTGGCAGGAAAGTGGCAATTGTCAATGTTGGTGAGAAAATTAATTACTGCTACTGTTTTTATAAATTATTTTCTTAATTTAATATATACTTTTTTTAATCCTGATGCAAATTTCTAGCATTCCAATAATTCCTATAGAGAACCACTCTTCTTCACACTGTTTCCTGTTTGGTAGGATAGTGGACTCTTTGGTAATGAAAATGTTATCTGTAATTAACATACAGTATGTAAACATACTTAGTTTAAATGCCATTGCCAGGCTCGTCATAGTAAGGAAGTTGATTACCATGCAGCTGGAGGTGCATGCTGTATAATCACATGCAGTTGTATTTGACATGGGGCAGTGTTAAATGTTTGTGAGAAAAATGTGCGTGCCTACAAAGAACAATATCCAAGTGCAAAATGTTTCCAATTATTTCTCTCTTTCATGGGGTAAAGCCTTCACTTGTTGCTGTTGGAGATGTTCTGACCGAAGAAAAAGTTTGTTTACTGCCTTCCCCACATTAATACCAGTATTGGTGGTGTACACTGTGGCACTCTTTATGAGGTTTGACTTACATTACCCTCATGCTGCTAATTGTCCAGTTAATTTAATCACTGATACTTTACAGATCCGGCAAATGATACACTGATTTACAAGGCAGCTGTAGATATTTCTCAACTGATAAAACTAGAGGATGCTATGAATTCTTTAACACTTGGGCCAAATGGAGGGCTGTTGTTCTGCATTGAATTCCTTGAAAAGAACATGAACTGGTTGCTGCAACAACTATCTAATTACAAGGGCCATTACTTCCTGTTTGATTGCCCTGGACAGGTAATTATTTCATTGAGTGGTTCATTTTGGTATTCAGTTCTTATACACATAATGAAACTACAGTCAAAACCTTTATAATACATAGAGATACGAGGTGCGATCGGAAAGTTTCCAGACTGCGCCTATAAAAACCCGTACACTTATCTCAGATATTAAATTCATCCATCACCCTCGAAGTAGTTCCCCTGGGAGTGAACACAACGATCCCAGCGCCGCTGCCAAGCCTGGAAGCATCCCTGGAAATCTTTCTTTGTCAGCCGGTCAAGC